ATAGATGTAATGAAAGAGGTCATGCTGAAGTCACTGAGCAGCCATTATGTAAAGTTCTGTGAATTAGTAAAACTCACATTTAATTTCATAAAAACATCACAAACCTTGAATTGCCTGATTGTACATCATCATCACTGTGGAAGCTTCAAGAGGTTTCACAATAATTTAAGTGAGAAAAACCAATCATGTCCAGAAAAGTATGTGCAGCAAACAAAAACAGTCTCTGAGAAGTTTAAATGTATTTTAGCTTATTGTTATAACTTAGTTATCTTGTGTTTTATATTTGGGAGGGGCATCTAAAGTAAAGGTAAGATATTTTACCTGGGAAACCTGTTTTGATCTTTTAAATGTAACTTATTTGCTTCTAATGGGGACCGAGCCCTGGAGGAAAAGACACACTGTTTTCTTAATGCTGAGAGTCCAGCTAAGCTTTGCTCTGTAAATGATGCAGCAGTTAAGAGATATAAATAGTTTTACCTGAGACTTACATCACTTATGTCTGCATGCATTGAAAACCTGATCAGATTCATATAGAAACTAAAGAGAAGTAAGCCTCGTCCCTCCGTTGCACAGGCACTCCTGACGTTCCTGACAACCTCCCCAACATGTGCAGCTTTGCTCTCAGGTCTGGAATGTAAAAAAAAATTTTTTTTTCTGGTCATTAAACGTCACTTTGTACGTCCCACGGCTCAAAACGGTTTATCCTTTCTCCCTCGTACTGAGGGGACTGAGGGGACTCGTCCAGCCTGACTGCCTTGACATCCAGGTGTCTTCCCTGCTTGCCCTGATATGAAGACACCCGAGAAGCCTTGCAGGTCAAATCTTATCAGTCATATTTATTATGGCCACTCCTCTCTAAATCGTGGTAGTTGTTGATCTGAGATGATTAGAGCTAAAGGCTAGAGCAACCTATTAGAGCTATTTGGGCTAATATAGATTTATACCCAGATTTATATGTTTATTGTTTTACAAGGGTTTAAAAGGGAATGTCCACAGTTTGGACTTTAATTGCAGAAGATTTGATTAAAACTGCTTGGCAGGAGCCAAGCAAAATAAAATAAATAAAAAGAATAATCAAATCACCTCAATTCAACTTATTTAATTAACCCACTGAGGTAATTCTGACTTTGTTCTTATCTTTGGGGGGGAGAGGCTGGTGGTGAGAAGATGTGTTCCACCTCAGTGCTCTGTGTTCATGGAATTAATCAGGAAAGCAGGATTCCTTGATTGATCCCACTTCTCTCAAAGCTATAATCAGCTGAGAAAACCTTGGAAGTCTTTAGAATCTTCTTGAGAATAATGGAAGTCCAAATCCTTCTCAGAATTATAATCCAACACAGTAATTATGATGATGATGATGATGATGATGAACAGAAGTAAAACCAAATCCAAGTCCAATCTGTAATTCCAATCTCTCCTTCATGCCTATGGTGGAATTTCCAAAGGCGAAAAGTGTGTGTGCTCTCATTAACACACACACACACACACACACACACACAC